CCTTAGCTGCCTTAAACTTCAGCCTCCACAAGGATAAACCTACGTCACAGGCACGGTTAACCATGGCTAAAGAGATCAAACAACATTCTGAAGATACACAAAATATGACACAAAAGTCATTTATCACTTGGTTACTTTTGCCTTTCCAAAGTCGTGAAGTCAGTGGGATAATTTTCAGATCTATTCCAGTGCACCCCGGTCCTGAGCCAGGCTCAGACTCGGCTCACCAGGGCCTCTACACCTTCACATGGCCGCCACCCTCTTCCTAAGAGGCCCTCTCCCCCAGCCAAGAAGCACACACAAGCACACACAACCCATCACACAGCCTCCTGGAGCCAATGCCAGGCGTCAGGGTAGGAACTGCTGACACGATGCGCGCGCGCGCGCGCGCACACACACACACACACACACACACATCTCTCACAATTTTTTTAACTCTCTTTTTTGATTGTTTTTCACTAACTCTTGCTTCGATGGTCGTGATGAAGGGACTGAATCCAAGGAAGCACCAGGAGCAGTGGATCATCTGGATACTGATCCCATCACGTGATCCTGCAGAGATCTGACCATCAACCAAGAAGGTAGGAATGGTGGGACGGACACGACATCGGCACGCAAATCACTCCAGTAATTCTACATGGCTGCTCTCAAATAGGGACTAGAGTCCTCTCGCCAGTGTGGACCCATCACAGCTAGAAAGCATTCTATGCCAGCCTGGCTAGGGCAAACCCAGTGTTAAATCCTTGGGGGAGGTGAATCAACTCTTCTTTGTTTCGCAAAGCTAAACAAAATTAAGCCAACCTAACCCACCAGAACATTAAACAATTCCAAAATACTTGATTTAAATTAAGTAGCAAGTAACTGTTGGTTCTGAATATGAACAGATTATCTTCTGAGAAAAAAAAAAACTGTGAACTTGATAAATGTCCCAGTCCCACCTTAATACAATACAATAGGTGCTTAATGATGCTAAGTACTGCAGAGTGAATACTGCTCATTGCTGCTTCAATCTCCAACCAAACCACCACCTAATCCAGCGCACAGATACCTTTTGGGAAAATCCGCCAATTTCTAAATATGTTAACAGCTTTTATCCTGGAGTGGCAGGATACAGTGTTAACCACTTCGATGACGACAGAGATTTTAATTTTTATGTATGTTTTGCTGTAATTTTCTTTTACAAAATATGTGCATACTACTTTTAAAACTGATAATTTTGGGGCCCGGCACGGTGGCGCAGTGGTTAAGGTCCTCGCCTTGAATGTGCCAGGATCCCATATGGGCGCCAGTTCTAATCCCGGCAGCCCCGCTTCCCTTCCAGCTCCCTGCCTGTGGCCTGGGAAAGCAGTCCAGGACGGCCCAAAGCTTTGGGACCCTGCACCCGCGTGGGAGACCCGGAAGAGGCTCCTGGCTTCTGATCGGCATAGTATCGGCCGTTGCGCTCACTTGGGAAGTGAATCATCGGACAGATGATCTTCCTCTCTGTATATCCGCCTTTCCAATAAATAATAATAATAATAATTTTTAAAAAACTGATAATTTTGAATAACGTAAAGAATTATCGCTATACATTTACATGATCTCTGGTCCAATGATTATAGAATTCCTATTTGGGAGAACTTCTTATTTGGTGTCTACACAAATCCTTAAACACCTCCTAAATCAAAAACCAAGCATGCCGACTGTCCCGCAGACTAAAAAAGAAAAAAAAGCTGCTTTTTTTTTTTTAACATATAAAAATAAAACAAAGCAACTCTTGCCTCGGGAACAGGTTCTCTAAGTGGGAAGTCTTGCCCTCTCACAGAATTGGACAGTAATCCTCCAGGCTCAGCACCTATCTGAGGGACTGACTCCCGTTACATAAACACAGCCAAGTCCTTGAGGCTCCTGCTTCCTTCCTAGTTTCTATAAATCCAGGGCTCATCCCACTGGTCAAGGGTGAGATGAGCTCTTTCCCACCGCTGAAAACATGCTGCCTGCAACATAACCGATACCCAACCTCTGTCACTTGTCAGGACTAACCCTCTGTAGTACCTCCCAGGTTTAGTAGGTTCAGATCGGAGGCCTGTGTGTGCACACCGGCCCTTCACCTCAGCATCTCAACTGCTGCTGTTCCTGTGTAAGGGACCTGCAGTACATCATCAAGTTTAACCAGGAAATTATTTCTCAAATCACCATATTTTTAAATCACCTGGGAAAACAGAAATCATACTTTAGATAATCAAAACTATCCGTTTTTTCCAGTGAATTCTGTACTGTCAATGAGACAAACTTAAGTCTAGCAAAGATTTTTTAAATTTCCACTTTTATGATACCAAAAATTTTAAGTTGAAGCTTGCTTATGTTAGTCACATCAAAACACATTCAACATGAAAAATTACGTAGTATCTGCACGGAGGGGTAGGGGAAGAGCTGTGAACAACTTTTGTTTTTTATTAAGTTCAAACAGAAACAAATTAGGTGGGTTTCAAATATTAGCTGGAATCCAAGTATTTGCTTTTATTGAACATATTTCTTATAGCCAAAGAAATTTTTTCAAGAACCAAAAAAATCTTTTCAAGAACCAAAAACCATTTCAAACAGTTGTAGTTATTCACTCTGTAAACTAGAGTGATTCTTTTCATTTCTGTTATTCAGCCTATCTTTTCTCTGGGAAACAAACCAGCCAGCAGCTACTACAATTTCCTCTTTGGGAACGGAAGACAAGTTTTCTTTTATAGGACACTCTAGGTATGCCGTAAGTACTTCAAGAAAAAAATGATTTGCCTCTACTTTCCATCAACAAAATGGGAATACATGGATTTTAAGTGACTTTTTTTTTCCCCCTTTTTTTGGCCAACAACATTTTTAGAAACTTGTAAAACCCAGCATCACTTAAACTTCACCATCTTCTAAGGAAGAACAGCAGCGAGGGGACAGGTTGGCCAGCACCCAAAATGGCACTGCCACACAACACCTCCCAAGGCAGCCACCATTTTGAGCAGCAGGATATATTCGCACTTTTATACCAAGCCAAAGAAAAGGCAGAACCACCGAGTCCCGGGGAAGCATCTTAAGCGTCCCTTTCATTTCGCGGGCCTGCTCCTCTCCTTCAGTCAAAATCAAACTGTCGTCACGCCAACATTTTTTCATTACCCCAAATCACGCCTGCTAAAATCACGCTCCAACTTTGAAAACAAACGCTGCGGTGTAGCGCACAATGCCTGGGTTATTACAACCCTACCAAGCGGAGGAGCCTACGCTTTAATCGCGTTGTTTTAATCAGCTCAAGGAACCAGCACTCCAAAGTGGCCCTAGTTTATCAGTCTACATTCCTCTTCACTCTTTCATCCCAACCCCTTTGATCTTTTAATTTTGCCGATTTGATTAACCCTCTAAGAGCACGGTCTCGCACGTCATGAGAATCGACTATTTCAAGAAAACACGATTGAATCTAAAAATGTAACAGTGAGGCAAAGAGCCTGGAAATAAACGAACGAAAATCAACCTGAAAATGGCAGAAAGTAACCTAAGTGGGGGGCGGGGAGGCAAAAACCTGAGCTGAGGTCCTCCACGAGCCCCTCGTTTTGATCACTCCAGCACCAGACCCTCTGTCGGGCAGAACTTGAAACAAAAACCGGCCGAGAGTTCCCAGGTACCTTTGTCACTCCCCACGACCTGCCAACCCATCAACCATTTCGCCCTCCTTCCAAAACCCAAAATAAAAGGATGCTGCTTGCTGCTGCTGCTGGCCGCTCGCCGTGGCCATCGCATGCCTTCCGGTCTACACACTCCCGCCACCACCCCTGCCACAGGGGACCCTCCAATTTTAAGCTCCTTATCACAAAGCCCCCAGTCGGAAAGCACCTTGAGCCTGGCCCGAAAAGCCATCCCTTCCCTCCACACGCTCGGCCCCGGGGCTGGAGGGCGGAATAATGGTGGCCGAGGTCAACTCAAACAGTTGCCGGAGGTTGCCGGGATAAAAGAGGGCTGTGCGGCTCCAGGGAAAGGGGGCTCCCGGGAGAGAACAACGGAGTCGCAAAGTTTGCCCCTCCGCCGCAGCCAAGTTAGCCCAAAGCGGCTCCCCAAAGAGTGGCTCGAGTGCGGGCGCCCTCCACGCGCCCGTCCGGCTCCCGCACCGCGTCCCCGGCCGGGGGCGGCTGGCTCGGCTCCTCCACGGCCTCGGGAGGAGCGCGCTCGCTCGTCCGCCTCCAGCTTTCCGACAAGTCCCGGGAGAGCCGCCCGGTCCCGCTCCTACAAAAGCGCTCAGTCGCCAGCCTCCCTCGCTCCGGGCCGCCCGCCTCGACCCCGCCGGGAGCCGCGCGAGCGCCACAAACCGATGTCCCCAAGCCCGGCGTCCGGCGGAGCACGGAGCCCGCAGCCCGCTGCCCGGAGCCCGCAGCCCGGAGCCCGGAGCCCACAGCCCGCAGCCCGCTGCCCGGAGCCCGCAGCCCGGAGCCCGGAGCCCACAGCCCGCTGCCCGCTGCCCGGAGCCCACAGTCCGGAACCCGCTGCCCGGAGCCCACAGCCCGGAGTCCACAGCCCGCTGCCCGCTGCCCGGAGCCCACAGCCCGCTGCCCGCTGCCCGGAGCTCACAGCCCGCAGCCCGGAGCCCACAGCCCGCTGCCCGGAGTCCGGAGCCCACAGTCCGGAACCCGCTGCCCGGAGCCCGCAGCCCGGAGCCCGCAGCCCGGAGCCCGGAGCCCACAGCCCGCTGCCCGCTGCCCGGAGCCCGAAGCCCGGAGTCCGCAGCCCGGAGCCCGGAGCCCGGAGCCCACAGTCCGGAGCCCACAGCCCGCAGCCCCAGAGGCCCCGCACGACGCGCGCCCGGCACCTCCAAGCCCCTTCTCGGCTCCGGACGCCCCCAGTCCCAGCACCGTCCAGGCCGGGCACCCCCACCCCCAAAGAACGATGGGGCACGAGAGAGACAGAGAGAGACAGAGACAGACACAGAGAGAGAGAGAGAGAGAGAGAGAAGCGAAGCGAGTGCGCCCCCCGCGCCCCCTCCCCTCGCCGCTCACCTCGATCTCGAAGTCCGGCAGGCGGAACGCGGTGCGAAAGAGCGAGCAGAAGTGCGCGATGGCCGGCACTTCCCACCAGGAGCGGAGCTCGCCCAGCCCGGCCGCGCCGCCCTCGTCCGGGCACATCTCCCGGGCGCGGCGGCGGTGGCGGCGGCGACCCCCGAGCTGGCCGCCGCGCGCCGTCCGGGAGCCCCCCGCCCGGGCTCGGGCCCCCGGCTCCTCGGCTCCTCAGCCCCTCAGCCCCTCAGCTCCTCCTCAGCTCCTCAGCCCCTCAGCCCCTCAGCTCCTCAGCTCCTCAGCCCCTCAGCCCCTCAGCCCCTCAGCTCCTCAGCTTCTCCTCAGCCCCTCAGCTCCTCAGCTCCTCCTCAGCTCCCTCAGCTCCTCCTCAGCCCCTCAGCTCCTCAGCTCCCTCAGCTCCTCAGCTCCTCAGCTCCTCAGCTCCTCAGCCCCTCAGCTCCTCAGCGCCGCCTCGGCAGCAGCTCCTCCCGCTCGCGGCGCGGCTGGCCGGGGAGCCGGGCCGAGGCCGGGCGGGCGGCCGGGGCGGCGGCCCGAGGCACTGTGGCGTCGGCGGGCGGGCGGGCGGGCGACCCGGTCCCGTCCCGCGGCGGCGGCGGCGGCGGCGGCGGCGGCCGCCCCCACCCCCACCCCACACGCGCACACACACGCGCGCGCACGCACGCCCAGTCCCGTACAAGATAATGGACTCCGAGGCCGGAGAAAACAGATGGGGCCGGCCGGGGGGAGGGGCCGCCCACGAGGAGGGGGCGGGGCCGCCGCGCACCACAACAACAACCCCGCCCCCCCCGCCCGGACGGCCGCACCGGAGCCGGCCCGCGGGTGGAGAGGAGACTCGAACCCGCCGACCCCGAGGGGCTGCCGAGGCCGGACGGGGAGCGCGGCGCGTCGTGGCGTCGCGCGCGGCGGGGAGCCTTCGTCCCGCGTCGGGCCGCGCGGAGCGGGCGCGCTCTGGAAGGAGGACTTGGGCCAGGGTCTCTCCCGGCCTCCCCCCCCGCACGCTGGCCTTAGTGGTCGCGTCCTTTTAAAGGGCCCGCGGGGTGGCGCTTGGGACCGGGGCTCGGCGCGGCGACGTGCACGTGTTGGAGCGGAGTTGTGGTGGTGTGGAGGGGCTGGCCGGCCTGCAGCCGTGCGGGGATGGAGGCCGGAGTGCGGCGCGGCGGGGGGAGGCACCAATCAGCAGCCGAGCGGGCAGAGCCACAGCCCCAGCCCCCAGGGAGTGGACACGTGTGGCCGGCCGGAGGAAGCCGGGCCCGGAGCCCAGCTAGTGCCCGCGGCCTGGAGGGGCGCGCCCCGCGTGTCCGGGCGCGACGGGGCTGGGGTCTGCAGGGGGTGCAGCCCTGCTCCCCGGGGCTCCCCGGGGCGGCCGAGGGGCTGGGCTCCGGCAGCTGCCGCCCCAGGTGTGTGCTTTACAAATGCTAACTGCTGCAGGACGTTTGGAATGTACCCCAAGGACACACACACACAAAAAGAATCGCCTCCACCGCCAGGAAAACTGCCTGGGGAGCCTCGGCCCTGCGTGCGGCTCGGGCGTCGCGTTCCTCTCCATTCTCCCAGGAACACGATCGCAGGGTGGAGTGGCTGACCAAGTAAGCAGTGTAGACGCGGGGAGCGGGGCAAGCACCGCCGAGGCGGATTCTGAAGGGGTTGCTCTCCACCCCGCCCAGTACTCTGATCATTCTAACAGCCTAACGTACTTTTTTTTTTTTAATTCTTTAAAAAAAAAAAAATCAAAGCCTGGTGTGCTTTTATAAGGCAGCATGTAGAAATACTTAAAATTCTCAAAGTGTCTGAGTGCAGTCAAGTGTCTTGTGAATTGAGGCATCTCAGTTCAGCGTACAAACAGCGACAGAGTTCGTTCTTGCAACGCATTGATTTACAATTCATCCTCAAGTTGTACCACATATTTTATTCTTTCACAACATGCGTGCATATCTAAATGCTACCTGCGAGTAAAGGCTATGATTTTTTTTCATTTTACTTTATTTTTTTATATAATCTTACTTAGGATGATTTTTGTATGTTTAAAAAACAAAATGCCTGGGCCTGGCGCAATAGCTTAGCGGCTAAATCCTTGCCTAGCATGCACTGGGATCCCATATGGGCGCTGGTTCTAATGTTCTAATTCTGGCGGCTCCACTTCCCATCCAGCTCCCTGCTCGTGGCCTGGGAAAGCCGTCGAGGATAGTCCAAAGCCTTGGGACCATGCACCCGAGTAGGAGACCCGGAAGAGGCTCCTGGCTCCTGGATTGGCTCAGTTCTGGCCGTTTCAGCCACTTGGGGAGTGAACGAGCAGACTAAATGTCTTCCTTCTTCTTCTCTTTGATATATTTACCTTTCTAATTAAAAAAAAAAAAATCCTAAGGGAAAGAAAATGGCTAATCCTCCACCTCCGGGTGCCAGTTCATATCCTGGCTGCTCCACTCCTCAACCCACTTCCTGCTTGTGGCCTGGGAGAGCAGTAAAGGATGGCCCATTGCTTGGGACCCTGCACCCACTTGTGTGAGACCCAGAGGAAGCTCCTGGCTCCTGGCTTGGGATCAGCTCAGCTCCAGCTGCTGTAGAATGAACCAGTAGACTGCAGATCTCTGTCTCTTTCTATCTCTCCTTTTCTCTGCATATCTGCCTTTCCAATAAAAAGAAGTAAATTACAAAATAAAACCCAGCTACTAATAAACATGATGTGAAACGGGTAAGTGTCTGACCACAGAGGGTTTAGATGTTGGGACTTGGCATCTGCCATCATTTATAACGGGGAGTTTTGGTCTCCCACGTTCTCAATCTGAGTGTGACCCCTCCTCTGACTGTTCTTTCGCCGGAGTTTTTCTGGTTGCCCATGGGTCTTGTCCCACATCCTTTGGCACTTTGTCACCATGTAGGCTTAGCTAGCCTCACAGTTGTCATTGCTAGCCAAGCTAAGTGGGAGGCAGAGCGGCTGCTGTAGTGTTTGTCCCCACACCCACCGGCCGCCTGGGAAGCCTGCGCCATCATCCTTTTCCTTTGCCTCCAGGACCAGAAGGTCGTAGAGATCAACAAAGCTGTGCTGGACCTGCAGGTGCCCCCTGGTGGCAGGTTTGTCTCCTCACTTCCTTCTGCCTGTTTCTGTGCTCCGTTCTCTTTTGAGGGTCTCCACCCGGTCTGCCTCAGGATGCTGGCATCCCTTCACACACCTGTCTCCTTGTATCGCTCTGTGATGCTAGTTGAACCTCTATAGTTTTTGCTTGGACTTACCCACTCTCCACCCGCCTTCCCACCGCAGCCTTTGCCTACCGTCTGGGACCATCCCAATCCCTGGAGCTGACCCTGTTGGGGGTCTGGCTGTAACTGTGCATCCTGGGGGCGGGGGGGGGGGTCTCACGTCTCTGCTTCTGCTGCACTTAATGTCCTGATTCTTCATTGGAGAGATGACAAGAAGGCATTTCTGTTTACTAACTGGGGCTAGGCCAGGCTGAAGTCAGACTCAGAAAATCAATCCAGGTCTCTCTGGCAGGTGGCAGGAAATCCATTACTTGAGCCTGCCGCCTGCCAGGGTGTGCCTTAACAGGAAGCTGCAGTCAGGAGCCAGAGCTGGGAATGGAAATCAGACACAGATGTGGGGTGCATCCAATCAACCCCGAGATCTAATATTTGTCCTCCATCTGAACATTTGCCTCCCCTTCCCCCTTGGACTTGATGGCCTTGTATCTGTTTTCTGGAATCATTTTCAGCCTGATCTCTTAGAATCTGGATGAATGGCTCTTGTACCTGGAGGTTGGACACTGGCCCTTCCTCCCTTCTCCCTTTGATTCTGAGTAGTGGTGCACTCATGGCTTCCAGCACAGCCCATTCTTACCCTCTAAAGCTTGAGTTGTATCGCCTTCCTCAGAAACACACACACACAGCTTGGGCTATTTCTCTTTTGTTTTTCTAACCTTTTTTTTTTTTTCTTTTGTGTGCCAGTATGGTAAACTCACATGACCTTGACACTGCCTAGATATTCTGTCATATTCTCCACAACCTTCAGTTCTATTTTATACTAATTAAATGTTTTTCATTAGAAAAAAAAAAAAACCTCACATCCGTTAGCTAAGTTTTCTTTTTTGTGTTGCTCATTAATGTTGCAAAATTCATTTCCTATTGGAAAATCTGAAGCAATTTCAGTTCTAACAGGATTGTTTTCCTGGAGGATGAGTTGCAACATTGTTTCTTTGGGAAGTGCTTGGCAGGTTCCACAACGTCACCTGAAAAGTTTGTGACCTGATTGGTTTGAACTTCGCAGAGGTTGGAGGTGGAGAAGCAGCTCCTGCTTTTATTGCTGGCTAACCAGGATGAGCCAGCCAAATCACAGTTACCGCTCTCGTTTTTTCACTTCTGTTTTACTGCCCTTGGTCTGCCAGCCAGATGTGGAGACTTCTTTATGTTGGTCGCAGTCTCAAGCTGAAGCTGGAACAGAGCCTTAAGTGTTGGGTGAGCACTTGTTTAATATGTACAGCGGAGTCCGGGTGCCTCAAAATTTGGGGTCCGACATGATGGCTCAATGGCTAAGTCCTCTACTTGCCAATGCCAGGATTCTATATGGGCGCCAGTTTGTGTCCCAGCTTTCCATCCAGTTCCCTGGAGTGAACTAATGGATGAAGGTTCTTTTCTTTCTGTCTCTCCTTCTCTCTGTAAAACTCTGACTTTCCAATAAAAATAAATAAATCTTTTTTAGAAATTAAAAAGAATTTTTTTTATTGTTATTGGAAGGGCAGATCAGGTTTACAGAGAGAAGGAGAGACACAGAAAGAAAGATCTTCCAACCACTCGTTTACTTCCCAAGTAGCTGCAATGGCCGGAGCTGAGCTGATCCAAAGCCAGGAGCCAGGAGCTCTTCTGAGTCTCTCACATGGGTGCAGGGACTCAAGGCTTTGGGCCGTCCTCGATTGCTTTCCTGGGCTACAAGCAGAGGATTGGATGAGAAGTGAAGTAGCTGGGACACAAACTGGTGCCCACATGGGACCCTGGGCTCTTGGAAGGTGGGGGTTTAGCCTTCGAGACATTGATCCAGGCCTCAAAGCCTTTTAAGTCATGCCTTTCTCAGTACTCATTATTATTATTTTTTAAAGATTTATTTATTTTCATTGGAAAGTCAG